AGGAATTTGTGGATATGATTTTCATTTTAATAAGTTGGTAGTAACTTCTCATGCAACAAATTTTTGTGTAATTTGAAATGGACGCTTTATAATTTTCTAAAAATCTGTAAAGTGTTCCTGCCATTTCTGTCGAAAATAACATCGGTAGGTTTTAGCAATTAAGAAACCTCGAAGCCTACAAAAGTTTCAAAATAGTTATTACGACTTGAAATATTGGACGAGTTTGTGTGGAAAAGAATGTGAGGAGACGTGGCTAGTTAGAGGACAAGGTGACCGCGGTAATTTCAAACATGTGTCTGTTGGGAATAAAATATAAAAACATATACATAAAACAATATATAAACACTGCTAATACATACAAAATAAGAAAAACCCTATAAAAATTAAACCCACAAGTAAAGAACACCAAAAAAAGCAAATATTTACAATAGTATGACAAAGATACAGAACTAACCACTACATAAAACGCTAGAAACCGGGTTTCGATACCCGTAGTGGGCAGAGCAAAGATAGCCCATTGTGTAGCTTTGTGCTTAACTTCAAACAACAACATGTATTAAGCCTACCGCAATAGAGAAACAGAGTATATATATTTATTTACCACAAGAGAAAGAATAAAACACAAACAAAATATATATAGACTTATTGTAACAACTATATGAGATAATTCTTTCTTATATTCATGTTTAAAGAAGCTAATGAGGAAATGATCCTTAAGAAAAAAAATTGCTTTCATTATTTTATACTTAAAGATGTTCTCTGTTAATACTTTAAACACTATGTAATATGACTGTTAAATGTAGATTGCTGAAAACTAATTAGTGGAATAACCCACCTTAAAACTGAAAAATTAAATATTCCATTTGGTATTATATTAAATGTTCCAAAGAAAAACTGTTAATTTAGTCATACATTACTTAGACACTATGTTGTACACAGTTAAGAAGAAAAATAAGGAAATTATCAAACATTTGTACGTTCAAGTTCAGTTATAATGTGTCTTTAAAACAAAGTCTGGGTTAAAAAGCGCACTTCAACTTTAAAGACAAATTACATCCACTACCACTAAATACCTCACTAGTGGTATATGAGTTCACGTGCCTGAGGTGCAACTAAGGATATATTGGCCACTATATAAGCCACTAGTAGGCTTTGCAATCGGATAAAAGAACACTTCAGCTCTAAAATCTACAACGCCAGTAGTGTTACCAACCACTGTATAAAACCTACAACACCAGTAATATTACCAACAACTGTATAAAACCTACAACACCAGTAGTGTTACCAACCGCTGTCTAAAATCTATGACACCAGTAGTATTACCAACCGCTGTCTAAAATCTACGACACCAGTAGTATTACCAACCACTGTCTAAAACCTACGACACCAGTAGTATTACCAACCACTGTCTAAAACCTACGACACCAGTAGTATTACCAACCGCTGTCTAAAACCTACGACACCAGTAGTGTTACCAACCGCTGTCTAAAACCTACGCCACCAGTAGTGTTACCAACCGCTGTCTAAAACCTACGCCACCAGTAGTGTTACCAACCGCTGTCTAAAACCTACGCCACCAGTAGTGTTACCAACCGCTGTCTAAAACCTACGCCACCAGTAGTGTTACCAACCGCTGTCTAAAACCTACGCCACCAGTAGTGTTACAAACCGCTGTCTAAAACCTACGCCACCAGTAGTGTTACAAACCACTGTCTAAAACCTACGAAACCAGTAGTGTTACCAACCACTGTCTAGAACCTACGTCACCAGTAGTGTTACTAACCACTGTCTAGAACCTACGCCACCAGTAGTGTTACTAACCACTGTCTAGAACCTACAACACCAGTAGTGTTACTAACCACTGCCTAAAACCTACGCCATCAGTAGTATTACCAACCACTTTCTAAAATCTACGACACCAGTAGTATTACAAACCACTGTCTAAAACCTACAACACCAGTAGTGTTACTAACCACTGCCTAAAACCTACGCCACCAGTAGTATTACCAACCACTGTCTATAGCCTACGCCACCAGTAGTGTTACCAACCGCTGTCTGAACGAATGTGATGTTATGCCTACCTCGAGATTTGTCATTTTCTATTCCCGGGAAGAATTATACCATAGACTGAGAAAATGAGCGTCGATCGTGGATTATGTCCATAATAGACAAGTGGAAGGACAGTGAAGATAAATTTGGAAATTTGAGTCTTCTTATTAGGAAAGTAAATAATTTATATTTTTATAACAGACCAACAACTTCAGTATAATTTAATATCATGACAAAAAATAATATTACCCGAGGGGGTAATGGCTAGAAGATAATGGATAATAACGTAACATAATGTATACAAATTAGTCTTGTAAACTTGTGTTTGAAAACGTATGCTAACTACCACAATTTTTGTTTCTAAATGTTTCAACTTTACATTATAATACAAATATAGTACAATGTACAAAACAAGAGTAATGTTTCACTTCATAATACGATATTCTAGGATTTTAAAAGTTTTATTTCAGTGAGCTTCTGGAACCTACAAGAAAATGGTTTATGATATTATTGCAAATATTCCACACGGCTTTAAAATTCACCTTAGTGATAAATTTCATTGTTTCTTCTTATTCTATTTATTGTGATTGAAATTCAGTGCAGAGTTTATAATAAGAATGTAGAGGTCCAAAAACTTGATATAATATACTTAGTCATTCATTAACTTATTGTACAGATTTTAAACAAATATTACTTTAAACAGTTACCATAATTCAGATTGCTCGAATTTGCCATAGCTTAAACTTAAGCTTAATAATCACAGAAAGTAACAAGATAATTGTTTAGTTTAGCATTTTTTATTCTACTGGAAATATATAAAGCTTTAACATTCTTCAGTTTCGAAGGTGTTCAGCATCAACTCCGTGTTTTCGTTTCTATAAACATACCGAGCTCTAATACCCTAGGGCGCTTTCCCCTAATGTCCTTCAGATGTGCCACCGATCCTTATAAACCTCATGATGTTAGAGCGCTTGGTGGCGTGCACTTCTTGCTACATTCCTTTCCAGACTTCTGGAAATATTTTTTTTTCTGTAAATCGAAAACAAGTTTAATAAAAAATGTCGAAAGCCATTTTTGTTCAAAAGAAAAATGTATTCAAGTCCTTATGTAGAAAAAAAAACTAAACACATTTGTTATTCTAAAACTACGTATGTCTACTGAAATGTTCCTGAATGCTAGGCTTCCAACGTAAAAACTTGCCTATAGGAATTCTGAAGCACTTACTTACTCAACCGACTGATTGTGAATATGTTTATTATATAAATTTATATATTGATAATATTGATAATTTAAAAAAAAACTGCTCATTGATTTTGAGTTTAAAATAAACTTATGTGATTAGATGTTTAAGCATGATATAGATATGTATATATATTCAATCAGTGAGGCCTATTTAATAATATTTTACATATAGTATATAATGTTTGACAATTCATGCACATAAGTGAATTCAGGACTATTTCTTCTTCTTTTTCTGAGATAAGAAATGAGAAAACGATCACTTTAAAAAAACAAAGAAACTCGCATTTAACCTGATGTTTAATGATTAGACTTGAAACTAAGTAAACAGTATAAAAAACTGTAAGAAATAAATCGTACAGCCCTTGAAATATTTTTACTATAACAACACATTACATCAAATTTTATGCATAGAAATGGTGTTTGTTACTTTTGAACATTTTGGTTTGTTATTTTCGAAATTACTTTAGCTACAAAATAAATATGGTCTTGATTTATAAATCTAATCTGGCCTTGAAAGTACAGGTATGGCCAGGTGGTTAGAACACTTGACTCGCACGCTGAGGATCGTGGGTTCGAATACCCCTCCCACCAAACATACTAACCCTTTCTGCCGTGGGGGCGTTATAATGTGACGGTCAATCCCACTATTCGTTGATAAAGGAGTAGCCCCAGGGTTGGCTGTGAGTGACGATGACTCGCTGCATTATCTTTAGTCTTTCACTTCTAAATTAGGGACGCCTAGCGAAGATAGCCCTCGTGTAACTTTGCGCGAAATTAAAAACAAACAAACTGTTGAAGGTGCAAATTATTCATAACATTTAATAATATTTATACAGTAACCGGTTTCAGGTAATATTTACGGTGTTACATACATTTAAACCTGTTTGAGGTTGTCCTGCTCAACCAATGAAAAGCACACCTTAGATGTGTTAAAGGTATACCACTATATGCATACAGGTATCTGAGCTAGTTATCCAGTAAGATATTGAAGTAACACTGGGAGTAAAAATGGCTAAAAAGGGTATAGGTACAAAAACTTTATTTTCATGTATAGTAACAAAAGTTGGTCATTCCCATCTATTAATGAGATCACGGCAGTACACGTGGTAGTATAACTACACAATTACCGAATTCAGGGAACAAACAAACAATATACATTGCGACACAATCGAAAAAAGTCTTAGTGATGAAACAACAAGCTCTTAAGCCACCTCGAGAGTGTGAATAATAGTAATAATTTATGAACTGAAATGAAGTCGGTTAAAAGCTAATTCACTGTAACACATAAAATCATGCATTGTTTTTCTAGTGTTAGCAAAGTTATTGTGCCACATTCGTTCTTTAACTATAACTTATAATATTTAAAACCTTACGGCGTTTCTGTAAACAGTATATTTTTTGCATTGTTTGCAAGCACACATACAAGAATTAATATAAGGTTTAAACTAAATAAATTGTTTTACGTTACTATTCTTGTGAAACTTATATAACATTAAATAAGAATCTACACCTATATTTATATTTCCTGTATTGTTCTTGTTGTACTCATTAACTAATTGAATTTGTTGTGGCACAAGCTTCTATTGTTATACGCATAAACTAATTGAATTTGTAGTGGCAGAAGCTTCTATTGTTATACTCATAAACTAATTGAATTTGTAGTGGCAGAAGCTTCTATTGTTATACTCATAAACTAATTGAATTTGTAGTGGCAGAAGCTTCTATCAAGGGTGGCCCCAAAATCATAGTGGAGAGAGGAAGTTCAATTGAATTGACTTGCGTGATTAGCAACAGCCCTGAACCCCCTATCTTCGTCTTCTGGTACCATGATAATCGAATGATCAACTACGATTCAAAACGTGGAGATATTTCTGTTCAAAAAGCAGCGGCCAAAACAATTATAAGTAAATTGTATATCAAAGATATTGGAGAAGCAGAAAGTGGAAATTATACCTGCGGCCCTTCAAATGCTGGACCCACAAGTGTTTCTGTTGTCATATCAAATGGTAAGTCAAAATTCATCACATAATTCTTAAGTTAATTGTGCTCTTGTATGAGTATGGCTTTTGTGTTTTCCTTAATTATTTCCATTACTGTACATTTCTATAAAATATTAAACGAATCGGTTTTCAATGCATTATATTTTATTACTGAGTTATGAAATTCTTTGGTAATTTTAAGTCGAAATGTGGGGAATAATCTAACAAGACCAGAAATGAAAGTTGTTAGATATCATACTTCTTTCTTTTTTTTTTACTTCGCCAATATTATCATAAATAATAAAAGACTAAATAACAAAAGTTGTGATCTGGGTATGTATCACTCCCAGTTATTAGCTTCATTTCTTTAACAGTGAGGATTTATTTTGCAGACGTTTTGTAAAAATGGAAAATATTTCTTTCTCTTTCTGGTTTCTATCGTATTTCGTGAATTTCTAGAGAATAATGCAATTGTTGTTAAGTGCAAAGCTACACAATGTGCTATCTGAGCTTTGCCCACCTCGGTATCGAAACTCCATTTTTAATGTTATAAAACCTTAAATTTACCACTAAATCCTCGGAGGCTCAAGAAAATAAACAGTGAGAAAAGTACTTGTTTTAATAATTAGTTTACAAGATATTTAGAGAATATAAGGTAAAGTTAAATACATTATAATATTCAAATATCTATAAAGTCATTTTTAATCATCGCTTTCGTTATTCGTAACCCATATCTTGCAGGGTAGATAAGTATTTTTTTCCTAAAAAACAATACACATTAGAGGTTAAGTACGATATCTTAAAACAATTTTGGGCCTCGCCACATCATTACAGTTCATGTTGCCACGTCTGGTTATTCTCTATCTAACGATCGTGTATTTTGATAATAGTCCTACATTATAGTTTCCACTGGAAAATGCTCCGTCGTAAGGATGTCATTTCCAGTGCTCACCAACCCTCACTGCTGCTTTTCCATAATCCATCCCAGGGAACAGTATGCAACATTATCAATAAAGATCTGGAAAAGCGACGCAATGCACGTGTACACAAGCTACTTCCACGACATATCTATTCGAATTTCGTATACCTAAAACAGCTAGTGTATGAATCGGGTATTTATGATATTCCATACGAAGACATACTGTTCAAGTCACCAGACGCAATGCCTATGTATTTCTGAGCAATTGGAATGTTGAGATGGAAGGCTTTCGTCACGGATCTCTGTGTTGTTGATTCTCACCTGTACTTTGTTTACTACTTGTTGCAGTTTTCATTCCGGAAGTTCCTTGTGCCCCAAATTTATTCGCATCATTATATTATAATGACATTAATTTCAAGGGACATCCTTGTCTTGAAAATTCTAAATCCCCATTCGGAGCTTATCTCTCTGACCTGAGTGTATGAATATTTGGCGTCGGAAAGAGCTCTTACATACCTTTCCCAAAAGCGATATATTTTCGATGGCATCATACTGACAATGTAACATACAATTCGTTCTAATGTGACTTTATATTGACTGTGCTTCTTGTTCGTTAATACATGTTGTGAATGGAACCTACCGATTTGCATATTTATGGTCGTTTTAGTACAACTTATATAGTTTGTTCGTGTATCTCACCTAAAAGAACACACAGGATATATTATTAATATGTTCAAAAACTATTCAACTATCTGTATCGCTATGGCCTAATGAAGAAGAAAAAAGACAGTATTTTTTATCTTGAGGACTAGTGCGAGATGTTAAGAAACCTGCATCGTCAGAGTGATACAGATATTGCGAAATAATTGTTTACAAAATATTGCTAGAAGTGATTTTCTAGAAAATCCTGAAAAACCTAAAAATCCTAAGTGGATAACTTTGAAAGGCAAATGATCCAAAAAAGAATATCTAAAAAATCCAAAACTAAGTTTCCACAAACGAACAAGTTTTCAGAAAAAAGAGTATGATTTATTTGTTGTTAAGCACAAAACTACACACTGGGTTATCTGTGCTCTGCCCATCGCGGTTATCAAAACCCGCTTTTTAGCGTTATAAACTCTGAGACTTTCTGCTGATCCACCGGGGGGCGAGATGGGGGAGAGAAGAGTATGATGGCATATAAATTGCTTTAAAATGTATTTGAAAAAAAAAGTCCACAATTTTCCAAACGTATTATCAATCTTCGATATGGCTTATGGTAAAATATGAAATACAAGTTGTTTGGTAAGCATAAATAACGTCCTATACATTTTAAAAACTTCTATGTATTTGTGTTTTTGTTTAGCTTATGTTGAATTATTTTCTTTAAGATCGGATGTTTATATGACCCTAATTGTCTTAAAATTTGCTCTTAGTACATGCAAAACATCACGGCTGAAAAAAAAAAATCAATAATGATGAGGTTACCCAACTGATTAATCACTGCATTCTGATGATTATAAGGTTCTGTTTTCTTGTGAATTTCTCTGCAACATTTCATACGCTTAGTTAGTCAGTTTTATGAACCTACTTACATTATTTCTTAAATTATCTTTTAGTTTTGATCTTTACAGTTAGCTTACTTTTATCAGAAGTTATAGGTAATGAATATGTTGTTTTTTTTCTTTCCAGGAGAAAAACCAGCGGCTATGCAACATGATGGGAATAGTTCACCGTTGAATGGAGTTCAAACAAGAACATCATTATTGTGGCATTTTCTTTTGTTTCTTTCTCTGATAAACTACGTGACCAGATGATTATGAAAAATACCACATGTTATCGTATACTGCTCAACTAACCTAAAACCAACAACTTGCGATTATTTGGTAGATTTATAAAGTCTCAAGCTTTCTCTAACTGAACTCAGGTGTGTTCCACACGTTCTCTCATTTGATACTGCATCCGAAAATTGTGGAAGTTTGTGACATTATTGAATAAATACAAAGACGCCTTTCATCCAAATAAAGTGGCGTCGTTTACTTTATAAAAACAAATTCTTCTTAAGCAGTATAATGATTTGAATATTAAACATCTCCCCAGTGCATTGAGCTGTAAAACATACATCTTAATATAAAAATACATTTACACATGTGTTTACAAATACTGCTCTCTATATAAATGTGTTTTTCTGTAGAATGCATGTATGAGAACCGTCTTTTGAGAGATAAATGTGTGGTATATAAAGGGTTTACTCTTCATTTTTACAGTTTCAATGAATTTTGAATTACTCCCTTTTTAGCATAAACGTTAAACCTTAAATATGTAAAGGAAAGTCTATGATCATCAAACAAAAATCTTGTAAAGATGACTTAAAATAAGTTTTCATATACGTGAAAAGATTTAATGCACAATAAAGCACAGAATGTTAAGTTAATGAAAGTTGTTATATGTGTACATATTATGGATGTAAAAATTTCTGGGAACTTTGTGTATACTTTGGTTTGTGGAATATCATATCTTCAGCTATAAGAAGTACAATAAAACAAATACCGCTATAAAGATTTTTTCTTTCTTGCCTTGTGTTGCTTCACAATATTTTCCCATGGCACAGTAAAACAGGTGCTGCTGTAACGTTTTTTTTCATTCCTACCTTGTGTTGTTTCACAATATTTTCCCATGCTTTATTCATTTGCCTACGTTAGATATATATCTCTCTCTGTAGCTCTTACTGTCTAGGAGTTCCGTCATTGATCTGCTAAGAAAATAGAAGCATACTGTAATGTCATACTCGGTGTTCATCGAGGTCTTTTTCCCTAGCTTATAAAACCCGTTTACTGGACAAAAATAAGATGAAACCATTCTGTTATATTATAAGCTTTTGTCGATGAAAATATTGACTGTAGGGAATAACATATATATATATATATATATATAGATAATGTGACCTAACTTGCACGAAAATTCGAACAACTCGATTATATGATAAAATTTGTTGTATCATAGTTTTCACGTCGATCTGTAAATGTTGTTGGAATTATTTTGGTGTACTTTGTTTCGCTAATGTTAGTTACATCTGTTATATTTATATTTTTTCTGCTCTTTATGAATTAAAGAAAACGCTTATTTGACATAGACATTGTGAAGGAAATGTAAACCGTCTGTTGTTAGTAAATCCTAGGTACTTGAAAGTAGGCCATACAAGTAACAATGGATTGGAATTTCTTTAGACTGAAATTTTATATTGTGTCCAAACGTTCTATAATACATTCAAATACAAAATGCTCAAGCGTATGGAATTAAGATTTATATCAGGAGGTTAATTTGAAATGTAAATATTCCAGAGAAGCCTTAAATATTTTATAGCAGAAAGAACATGGTAAAAGGTTGATAAATATGATACTATCCTTGGCAATTGTAGTAAATTTTGCTGTAATAACTGAAACATGCTCTCGTAGTTTTTTCTGGATATAAATTAATTATAACTTAAATATTGGTATAGGAAAGTGTGGAATCCTATACGTTAATTTTTGTTATATATGCTCAACTTACGAAAGTATAATCTCAAGCAAAATCAAATATGGACAATATAATCTTTACTCAAAAATATTTTCAAGCCAGGAATTTAGTAGAAATAACTACACGACCAAAAAGCGTTTATATTATTTTTTCTTTCAGTAGCTTTTGATGTTTAGGCTTTATGCTACGTAATTACTTGTTGACAATGATATATTACAAAATAAGTAATGTATGCCTAGTGTTAGAATTTAAAACATTATATATATATATATATATAGATATATAACTTTCCTTTTTGCCAATTGTCAAATAGAACAGCTTTTTGTTATATTTCTTAATAGTATAAATATATACTATGTTGTTGTTGGGCTCAGGGTTCTTCTACAGTAGGTGTCTGTGAATTGTTAGCGATAAGTTCCACGATGAATAAACAGCATGCACTTCATTTGTTTTCGAAATAATATATATATTCAGAACAAGTTAACGTATGTACAATAAATTCTTCAACACTATAGATATTATGGGCATATCTATATATCCACTTATGCCTATTCAATTACTTTAGAATTTCAGTTGACAAGCCGGGCTATATTCTCTATTTTTATCGCACTAGTATTCTCTGTGATTGACTTACAATTGTGGAGCGAGTTACCGTAATCGTTTGATCTTCTTTCTTCTGAAGATCTTCTGTTCCTTTTGTCAAACTACACTCAGGCTCATGCAATTACTTTAGAACCACGCTTTGACGGAATAAAATTATTTTATTATCTTCTTTTCTACTAATACGATGAAAGGAAGTACTCTGTCGTAATTAAAAGTAAACAGAGTAAAATTTAATGAAAGTATAACGTTTCACCAGGTTAACCTGGCATCATCAGGTACGTCAACAACAACGAATGAATTGAAACTACAAATATATATAATACAGCCCAAGGGTACATTGAACTTTGATTGGGTAGATTTAACATACCTTACTGTCAGTCACAAATATTATGTTGATGACATGATTTATTTGTGTTTCATTGCTTTCAGCGGTTCAGAGAAGATATTGTTTTATGGCTTCCATCTCTGTTCGTGTGCTGCTTTCTGAAATTTTAAATGATCCACCAACCTTACTCAGAATATTGCTTATTCAAGAGATAAGGTTTGTCAAATCAACTCTTTTCCTACTTGCGGTGTAGGAACCTTCCATCTGTGGCTATGATGACATGGTCTTTAAACAGATGGTGACAGGCTTTTTCTACTGCATCCTCTTTTCAGTCTATGCTGATTTCCACTATTGCAGGGACACAATATGATTATTCCACATGGGAGCATTTGAGATCAGGTGATGACTGATTATATTGGTGGTGGCTATATAACTCCCGTCCATCCATGTCTGTCTTTTGAGGTGCTTTTTGACAACCCTCTGTATGATTGGTGTCTATGGGATCGTTGTGGAACAGGAATATCTCAATGGAAAAGGGTAGTGGCTCGATGATGGAATGTATGATCTTTAAACTCCAAGGCCTTAGTGGATAATTTTGCTTGTAAGCACTGTTGGTGCTCTTCAAACTGTTTAGGCTTGTGTGATGTAATAGGGCCTTGATGTGGTGGCTGAAGTACATCCTGTGACCAGTCTTAAGTAGGTCTTTTATATATTTTCAATTTAATATAGATGAATATGGCTGATGATGACAAAACCTTGTCGAAACGTTGTACATTTGCTGTTATGTTAAACTTATATTAAAGTTTTTCTTCATTACCCATTCAAGCCGTTTCCAGCCATTATTAGTCTCAAAGTGGGTTCCTCGTCATCGAAATTAAAATAGATGAATATCACTCAAATTGATTATTGGTCGTACATAATACAGGATGGATTGGATAAGACGTAGATACAGCATATACAGATGGCATTCAGTAGTGCCACAACTTTCAGTGGATTGGTGCCTTTAGTATCTCTGGTTATCAGTGAAGATAAATTGTCTGTTAACAATTATTCCCAGGTACTACAGATGGCAGTACACAAAGAGGATGGTGATGGTTTGTATGTTTTATCTTCATCAGCATAAATGTTATTGTATCTGACTGGGCTATCAAGGCTGGCTAGATCCATAGTAAAGATATCAAAGAGGACTGGTAACAGTGGAGTTTCTTGAGGCAGAGTGATCTTGATGATTAACCAGTCTCATTGCCAATTTTCATGCTTCATGCTTCATCTTCTGATAGATAGTGCAGTTATAACACATCTTAAATATTTTAACGCTGATGCTTATTTCAAGCATTTTTTCATCAGCAAGAATGGTCATCTGGTATCTACTTTAGGCATTTTCCAGGTCTAAAGCTTCTATCAAGGTGTTATGACCAAATTTAAAGCCATGTATTAACTGCGCTTTCAACAACATTGAAACATTGATCCAGGTTCCTTTTCCATCATAATGACCTCTCAATGACGAGAGGATCAGTAGTTCAATTTATTATGCAAGCCTTCTCGCTACAACTGTCCATGAAATCTTGCCAGTTGTGTTCTGTAGGATGATTATCATTCGAAGACCTTTGAAACAAGAGTAATCCTTCCAGGTTTTAGGTAAAGATTTGATAAAGATATCAGTCCTTATTTCGCGAATTCTATCTGTTGACCTGCTCTGTTGATAATCTGACATTAAATTCAACAAGTTTGCTTCTGTAAGCTTCTCAAAGGTGAACATTCTTATACCATCCAGACATGAAGCTTTATTACACGTATTTTGGATGTGTATTTTGTAACTCAGATAGGGATTGCTATAGCTTAAGTTTTTTGACGACTTTGTCTTGGTCTTCATCTATGAATGACTGACTTTAATAAGTTATTTGTTCTTTTGTTAGCATTAAGCTTGTGAAAACATCATCAGATCAAGTGCTTATGAGATTTGCTGTGTTACACAGTCCATTCCGTTTCTTGTATTGTGCTTTGGAAGTTGATCACCTGTAGAGAGCTCAGACTATATTCTATGCATGTCCTTACCTCTTTTTCCCGGGGTGGCTCATGTTTTATCCACATGAAATGAGCCCTGGCTTGATTTCATGTTTCCTTGGCTTTCTCGGTAGTGTAAGGGCAGATTAATATTTGGAATATGGGACCAAGGACAAACAGATCTTGAATCTGCCAGCTGTACCATATATTGTCACAACTGTTGGTTAGGTTGACAGATCATAAAATGGAGGAGACATTTTGCAACACACTGTTACTAGAGGGTTGAAAAACACAGAGATGCCTATTTTCTATTTGTAAGTATGGCTTGATCAGTACAAGGTTCTGCACTAGAGAGGCTTCTTGGCAGTGAGAATGTATCCTCAAACCCAATTATTACCGCCTCAAGAGTGGAGGCGATAACGAATCAGACCCCGAGTACGACCAACCCTACCCTAGCCTATCTTCTACATTTCATCCCCCATGTTTATTCTAAAATTTAGAATAACTGTTGCCGTAGTTTCCACTTACGTTCACTAATCCTTGGATTTCTTCCTTTTCAGTGTGTTACGGGTACAATCCGGGCATTATTATTCGGCGCCCTGGCCGCGGAAGTGTGTTTTCTCGGGGTACTCCCGTTACTCCCACAGCTAAATTATTCTGAGCATAGGATTTACAGATCCCCGCGCTGAAAAGGGCCGTTGAATTTATGACAGTTCTAGTCTGTTTCAGTTAATTCTAACTAATTAAGTTTCTTTCAACAATTATTTATATTGTCACCAGACATACAAGGGCCTCAAATTTTAAATTTTAAAATCGAATTTCTTTTAGCTTCATTATCTTTCAATTTTATTTTAATAAATCAAAATTTCAGATCTACATGGAACTGGTTTCTTTCGTCGTAGCCTTGGCAACCTCTTAACGACATCTTTCACCAACATCTTTAAGAAGAAACACACCTACTTCAAGAAGCAACGTAAGCTCTATCCGGCTTTCTCCTTAGATGACAGGCCATTTTAACAACAAAAATCAAGTCTCTTGCCAAAATCAAAAATATTTCATTATTAGCATTACCTCTCTCCACTCTCCACTTTCGGGGCGAAGAGAATCAACAGTTTCTGACCACTACAGGTTATCTTTCAGGCCCCAAATTCCTTGAAGCGTGAACGATTTTAAACCTAAATACCTGCCAAGGATTGGATTGGATCAGAAGTACTCAACAGCAAATTAATGTGCCTACAAATAATGTTACATTACAAAGTAGTACATACATGTGTGATCACATAAACACTGTTTCTCGTCAAACCTATCTAAATATAGGGATTCAAAATTTAAACAATGAAACTATTACTACTAGCTAAACCAACGTGGGCGTAAAGAGAAGATTTTTAGAATATGATTTCTGCTTCTTATTTTAAATAATATGGATGTACCAACAAGAATTTTCAAACATAAGTATTGCTTCTAGTGAAACCAATAAAAATATAACGCTTGGAAATAGTAAATACTATACTCTTTCTAGTAAGATCATTGTGAATAGAAAAATTAAGGTAGTTAAAACATGAACGTTATTGAATTCAAACTTTTGGGAATATAAAACTGAGAAGCTTATTGTTATTCAAGTTATTGTAAAATAAAGATAACAGACATGAAAAATAAGAACTTATTCTCATCAAACCAATATGAATATAAGAATAGAAGACTTAGAAAATAAACTATTTTGAGTGAAATCACTGAGGGCATGGAACTATAAGATTGAAAATATGACTAATTAATATCTGCTTACATTCAAGATATTTCATATCAAACAAACAGGAATATCAGATAGCGGACTTCAAACCTGAACAATACTTCTTGTGAAGACAACCTGATTAAACAGCAAGGAATTTTTCAATAAGAACTCTATATTTAATCAGATCTATATTGATATACAGCTTGGAAAACTCTATCATAAAACTTCAAAGGTAAATACAGTTACAATAAACTTCAAACATGAGCATTTATCTCTAATCAAACCAACATAGATGTTCTGTTCATTTTACTTAACAAATATTACTTTTTGCCGGTCAGTTACAACGTAATGTATAATACAACGATTTTGTATCATCACTGCGTTTGCGGAAAAGGTGTTAGTGTTAAACATTTCTGTTTCAAGAATTGTAATATCATATTCATTGAATAAAGGGGTTTATAACTCATTTATCAATTTATATGATTGTTTGGCCAAGAGAAAATATCTTTAGTAGTTCTGAATACAGTTACAATAAAC